CTATTTTGTGTGCACATATCCGTTCCTTGCTCCATGCTTTTGGCGTCAAATAATCTGTGTCAGTTTCCAGGATTAATATTAGTGATGAAGTTGCAATTTCGGGGTAATTTAATCTTATTTTTGAGGTGAAATGTCTGTGGGTTTGGAGATGTATACTAATGCTGCGTCTACTTTTTCCACTAAACTTTGAGTTATGTGCTGCTCAGTCTGCCTCACTGTCCTCCGTCAGATGTCATTATTTCAGCGTGTTATGTTTAAGATAAGATGGACTTTTATTAATCCCTCATTTTGAACAGCGCCCGGGGAGCAGTGTGGGGAACGGTGCCTTGCTCAGGGACACCTCGGTAGCACTTGGTCTTGCCGGGACCTGAACTGGTGACCTTCCAGTTGCCAAGCCGCCCCAAGATTTAAGATACTGTATGCTTCTACAGTGTCAAACTAATGCACTTATAAGCATGTAAAATGTGTTTTTAAAAAGTGTCTGCAGGCGCCCTCGTGTGATGGTGCCATATGTTTAAAGAAAGGGTTTATAAACATGTTAAAAATGGCATTATAATATTCACGTTTTTTCTCTCGAAAAATATAGTAAGGTGGCGATACTGTGGCGCTAATCTTGTATATAAGATATAAATTCTCACCAGAACATGACGCCCGTCTGACGGCAAGAAAGCTGTGTGTCTTGTTGTCAGACTCGGGTGTTTCTCAATGTCGAGGACGCTTCCTTGGTAGGACATGTCTTCCGAGTCAGGTCCTTCAGAAGCGAGGCAAGAATCCTTCCTAGCCTCGTAAAACGAAGAATGGTCGGAACAGGCTAACAGGTGTGCGTCATCTGAGAGGCCCCACCTTACATTTTCCGCCAAAGATTTGTGAAATTGGTCTGCGCAAAGCATTGTGGGGATTTTAAGACCGGAGTCTACACATGTGCAGCCTCGACATTTCCCGCAACGAAGGACGCCGGCCTCGGTAGGATTCCAAGGATCCTGGACATTGGAACAGTCCTTCGGCGGGACTCGATGACGTAGCATCCTTGATATAGTGGCTCTGGAGGAGCCTTCCTCGACTTTGAGAAACACCCTCGTTCTACATTTACTATAAACACATAGCAGCTCTACCTGCTGTCAAATTCTCACATTTAAGAAGCTACAACTGAACAAAGCTTCGACTAAGTTACAATATCGACATTATAATTAGCCAATCCATTCATTCGATTATTAAACTTCCTATTTTAGAGGTGAAAACTGCTTTTTCTGGCATTTTTATCGAGTAATTACATAAAATAGAATATTGTTCTCTCTTTGCAGCAGAAGTTTAATAATCCTACAGGAAATCTCCGTGTGTAATTTTAGTCTAGGATTTATTACATTCATGGATCAGTTTTGTGCTCGGTGTGTGGTCTTCTTTCTGCACTTCAGCTAGAATTGGATCTAATGTAAGACGCTGAGGTTAAAACATCCTTTTCCTGCTAGTTTCTGTGTGTGTGTGTGTTTGTGTGTGTGTGTGTGTGTGTGTGTGTGTGTGTGATGGTTTCTCTGCTGGCTCTGCTCCATTCTGTAGTACGAGCTGCTGCTGTTACACAGAGAGAGGTTGGGACTTCCTGTACGCCAGCCTTTCCCTCCTTAATGGAGCTAACCCATGAAACTGAACACCTTTATGGCACAGGAGGATGCACGTATGATGGAAGGAGTATGAATTGAAGCAAATGGAAGACATGATGCTTTACTGTCCTCTGTTAATCACTGCTTTGTAATCGGCTTTCATTTCATTTCAATATATTACCGTTTTATTCGCATTACATTTTTTACGTTTTTATTTATTTTTCTTTCTTGGTTGTGTATATACCTTTTTTATTCTTAACAAAGTTCATCGGGTAACGGACTAAGATAGAATAAGAAATATATATGTGTATTATTCATACCACAAAGTAGACGATAGAAGATAATGATATTGGTTTTAGAAAAAGTCTGAAAAACCAACATAAATGTCTAACAAAAAGACCTGGAAAACGCCGTAAAAATGACAAAGAAAAAGTCCCAAAAATACCATAAAACGGCCCAAAAAAGAGAGAAAAATGCCTTAAAATGTCTTAGAAAAGTATGAAAAATACCATTTAAAAAGGCAAAAAGAAAATCAAAACTAGTATGAAAGCAAATACCTAAAAAAAAGTTTAATATGACAGAAAATTGCGAAAAATGCCTAAAAAGTGGGATAAATACCCCAAAGAGGACGTCTTCTGCAGATATACTATGTTTTAATATTTTGTAATGTTATTATAGTTTTCTTAAAATAGTTCTCATCTGTATTTTTTTGTTTGACTTTTATGTATGCACCATGACATCAAGTCAAATTCCTCGTACGTGTCATCCTACCTGGTGATAAACCTGATTCTGACGTATGAAGTCATCCATGCTCTCAGTGGAGGGACTCCTGACTCCTGTTCAGATGACCTTCGGATTGGTGTATTGGCGTGACGTTGCTGAAGCTAGTTGCCACATTGTGTGTGTGTCGAGGAAACCCCCGTAGTTTCAGCCCGTGACTCACCGCTCCTGCTCTCCTGTGGAATTTGGTCAAGTGCCTATTTGTGTAAGAGAGGATATATCTTATCTACTTCTGCTTTGAAATGTATTTTTTCCAAGTGGCAGATTTTATTCTTGTGGCTTATTTATACCCGCCAGGTCTTGTGAGTGTGCATGGAAATAGAAAATGACGTGCAGAGACGCAATCGCCGGGACTTTTTGTTAATGACTCTTAAACAGATCTAGGAAAACAAGAGGGTCTTTTATTGTCGCCTAAAGTGAGTTTTATATTGAGCAGATGAAGCTGACACACAGAGGGTTACTCCTGTGGAGTCAGAGCAGAGGAATGCATGGCGCTCGCTCGCTGCTGACCTTTTTACTCTCCTCTCACATTCCTCAACACGGGGGCAACGTTTTGTCATCATAAAGCGCCACTTTACTTTATGCCAGGGTAATTCCATCACCACCATGTGAACAGGTCTGAAGAGAGTCCAAAGTATTCCGTTCACTTTTATATTCATAATAAAGCACATTTTTGGATTTCTTTAGAAGCTGGAAAAGGGACATTTTTTCTATTGGTTAGAAGATTTACCAAAAATAATTATTCAACAAATAAAATAATGTGCGATAAACAGATCAAATGTATATATATGATTATCAATATCTTTTTAATACTAACACCAGTGTATATGATGTTATATCCATGTGTATATATTACTGTAAATAATGTTTTTTATGTTAAATATTGCAGTACGAGTCGAAGTTCATTAATTTAACTTCTGATAAATATTTGTGTTTAATTTTCTCTTTGACATTTTATTTTTTATAAATTATATGAACTTTTTTATCTTTTTATTGCATATTTTCACTTTAACTTCTAACATCTGGGTAAATATTGATATTTTTTAAATGTATTTATCTTTATTATTTGCTTCTATAAACAACTGTCATACTTTTCCCCCGGGGTAAATAAAGTATTCTGATTAAGATTACTATCATATGTAAAAATACAATTAAATAAAATAACAATATGTATAAATTGTGGTTTTAAGGTAACTAACCAGTTAACCCCCCTCTCTCCTATTTTGCACAATTAATCGATATTTTGGTGGAGAATTTAAATATTGACTCGTGCACTGTTCAAATAGCAGGAAGCACAATATGTGTTAAAGGCTAAATATGTTATAACATCTAAATGTAAATGTGGCACTGCAGAGATACCCCGGCCTGCAGACGATATTCTACAGACCTACAAATATATGTTTGATACTCTTAAAAAAAAGACCATTTCAATGTGTTTTTTTAATGACAACTGCATTTATAATCAGAATGCCCCTCTTCACTTTCTACCAGAGTAATTCCATCACTCACATGTGAACAGGTTTCTCAGAGGAGACGAGAGTGAATGCTCGTCTCCTCTCGGTTTCTCCCACATAGTATGTTTTCCTCCCCTCTAAGTCTGCTTTGGGTGCTATAATAGTTTCTCAACGGACAACATTCCTGGGAGAGGGCACGGCCCAATGACGACAACTTTTGGGAGGTTTGGGGGGGGTGCGTTTCTCTCTCACTCCTCCTCTGCACCTAAAGCCTCCTCCTGTCAGGCTGGCTCTCTACTGGGAGCCTGGATGACTTCATTCTTCTCCAATAGAAACCTTTTTAAATGCTTGTTTGTTTACCTTTAAATGGAGAATGTATTTGCTGAGAGATACATGGTTTACAGAGTCTTGCTGCTCAATTTGAGGCTGGAGATGCGGATGGTTCTTGTGAACTTTGGACTCAAATGAAAATACGTGTAGTTGGCTTCATGTCCCTGCGTTTTCAGACATGTTTCACATACTTGTGTTGACATCTTGCTGACATTTTTCAGGTGTTTTTGGAGTATTTTTCAGACTTTCTTTCAAAGCGTTTTGGTGGTATCTTTTCCAGTCCTTTTTAAAAACATTTACGGGCATATTTTTTGCACCTATTTTTTTGTACCTTTTTCAGAAGTCCCAGAACAGTGAATTAAGCAGTTGGATGTTTCTAGACATTTAAACCAGAAATGTTAGATATTATAACTTTAGACTGATAATTTAAAAAGTAGTTTGGCATTTGAGTCTTTGACTGTTTTAGTCTTATCAAGCAATATTCAAAGAAAAATAGGAAAAATACTTCCTTTTTTGCCAAATAATGACAACTTTTCATGTGTATATATCGACCTTTTCATAATTTGAAATTCAATAAAAGTACAATAAACTAAATAAATAGTAGCCTAAGCTTATATTTGTCCAAATTGAGAGCTATTTCAACCCAAATAAAGTGACTTATTCTATCTAAATCATACATCAAAACACGTAGTAGTAATACCTTCAAGAACCAGAGTAATAAAATATCTTCCAAGACTCAATCACGCTCCATAAAGCAATAAGTTAACACTTAAGAAAATGTACCTGGTTGAGTTGCACGGCTGTCATCTCATCTTTTGAATCTCTTGTCTCTCACCCTCAGGTGCAGAAGCAGGTGCACCCGAACCTCACGGCGAAGGAGGACGCGCTGCAGCACATCGAGGAGCTGATCCTGCAGCTGCTCAGCATGCTGTGTGTCGCGCAGCCGCGCTCCGTGCAGGACGTGGAGGTGACGCATCGCAAATATACACTTCATGACGTGAATGTTGTAAATTGACAGATTGCAGTTGAGAAACCCATGCAGCATTCCACATGACTAATTTCAGTTTTAGATTAGATTCCTTTATTGTCACTACGCAGAGTACAGCGAAATTCCAATCATTTCCGATGGTGCGATCACACATAACGGACAGTATAGCTAAAACTTTTAATGTACAAAGTGACTCATCTTCAAAGTCAACTTTATTGTCAATCTTTCAGTTTGTGTACAGACAGAGCGATCGAAATATCGTTTCCCACAACCCCGAATACAAATATATGTATATACCTACAGTATATATACACAATCAACAGACACATTTTTACATATGCACACATTTAAGACATAAATAAAATCAATATATACAAAATAACAGTCGCTCCATGCTTCCACATTCATCGAGTGTTAAGAGAGTGATTTCCCCCTTCTTGCAGGAGCGCGTCCAGAAAACGTTCCCCCACCCGATCGATAAGTGGGCCATCGCTGACGCTCAGTCGGCGATTGAGAAACGCAAGAGGAGGAACCCCTTACTGCTCCCCGTGGACAAGATACACCCCCTGCTCAAGGTAAAGACCCCCCAAGAGTCAAATCCTGAATTCACAACCTTAAAGGTGGGGTAGGTAAGAATGGAGACACCAGCTCGAGTGCGCTAGAATTTGAAAGTACACAACCGAAAAAAATCTGCCACTTCCTTCAGACTTCCTCACAAAGCCCCTCCTCCAACACACACGAACGCGCACATGACCAATGAGGGCACGAGATCAGTTTGTGCCCAGATGGAAGGCTGACAGGCAGGTAGGCCATCCAGTTACTTTAGCCGGCTCAGGTGATTGGTCGTGCTTTTTACGGCGCCACGGCTTCCACTGATGACATTTGTATTTAATGTATTTATTGCTATCGGGATGTTAAGAGCATTCCATGGAATATAACAAGTGTTTCTGAAGTGAATTACCTACCCCACCTTTAAGTCAAAGTATAGATCAGCGAAAAGTACATTTGTCCTGGTCTTATATTGCATTAATGTATAAATTGCATTTTACTGCTGTGAATGTTTTTGACTTATTTTACAAATTGATGTTTCATTTCATACTTTTTTATATTTTTGGGATTGTTTTCAAATGTGTTGCTCTGTAGATGTTTTGAACTCCTTTACATACGGTTGGCTCGTTTAATCTGGAGCTATGCATCATATTCTATCACATCGTTTGTTTTTTCGTATTTCTTTGAGAGAAAAAAAAATCGTTGGCGTGTTCTTTTGAAAAAACGTACCTAAATGTGGACATTTTTAACCTAATTATCCGAACTTTTGTCTTATTTTCAGTCCATTTTTCATACATTTGACATTATTTTTGAAGTTTTCCGACATCACTCTCAGACCTATTTACCTGCACAAACATTTAAGTTATTTTCAGAAATGTTCACATAATTTGAGTCTTTTTTCTGACTTTTTTAGGGTTCTTTTCTTTACTTTATTCACATATTTTTCTAAATAAATAATTTTGATCTGCGCTTTAACCTTTATATATACAGTCTATGGCTTTAACCCATCATTTAATATACTGCTTTTTTCTCTCGTGTCTCAACAGGAGGTGTTGGGCTACAAAGTGGACTACCATGTGTCGCTGTACATCGTGGCTGTGCTTGAATACATATCAGCAGATATCCTGAAACTGGCGGGAAACTACGTGGGAAACATCCGGCACTATGAGATCAGCCAGCAGGACATCAAGGTGTCCATGTGTGCAGACAAGGTGAGGGTAACGCCCCCAATCAGCTGCTTAAACCATCCTTAACTGCAAAACGTATAATACTAGGGATTACGTGGGGGGAAACGTGTGGTGCAGTGGGTTGTGCCTTGGTGTTCGGATCAGGGGGTCACAGGTTCAAACCCCACTGCAGTCAGCATGTCGTTGTGTCCCTGGGGATTGCCCACAGCATTGAGTATGTATGTCGCTTTGGATAAAAGTGTCTAACAAGTGACATGTAATGAATGATTATTACCCTTATTGATACTTAAACACCCTGTATTTATTGTAATATAATTTTTTTTACATATAGGTTTTAGTACAATGTGCATATCTTCACTTATGTTTATTTACATACATGTCTCCTTTACTCTGGATCACATTACAGCACAAATCCAAATAGGCATCTTTAGGACGATACTTTTACAGTATCATTGATCTGTTTTTAGATGTTGAATACATGTTTACTTTTACAAAATGTCCATTACATTTGTATTCCTGGGACATAGTTAGGAGGTGTTTTAACAAAAGCTTAATATTTTCTTTTGAAATTCACATATTTCTTTCCAGATGTATGTTTTCTGGCAAACGAGCGATACTTTCCCTTTCCATATACTCCCTATTTTTGTTTTATGAAGGTAGTAATTGCTCTTAATTTACCCCTGGTATCTACGCTATATACACTTGAATCTAATTTGAACAAGTAACTATTATTTAAGCCATTTATTTTAATGTCTGGACACTTCTTTACTCTCCCCTGTTTTAAAAATAGGTAAAAGATCTCTCATAGCTTTCATCCAATTTTGCAGTTTGATGCTTGCAGGTTGTGGTCATTTCTGAAACATCATAAACGATATGTAAGGGATAATGTGCATAATGTGCATAATGTGATCTAGATCCTGACGCGAAGCGGAGGGATCTAGATCTGCATGAAGGTGTTCTTTTCCCCATAATGACCGCGTCGCTGCACATGATCCCGCTTATTGCACGGCCACATTCTCAACAAAGTAACGACATGACTCTCAATATTAATTGAAATGCTTTTGTGGATTTAGAAAATGATTTTATTGATTTAAAAAATAGTTGTATGTATTGATTTAAATTGACATGCATCCGCTAAGAAAAATAGTCCGTTGTTACTGCTTGAACTAACGTAGCAACGGCAGGAAGGAACTGCTTCGATAGCGTTTTTGAGGAGCTTTTTGATTACAGATTTGAAAACATCGTTGCTTGCTTTAAAAGTAGCACAATTCATGATGTCAAAGCTTGGGAAGTATCTAGATATCCCTGCCCTAATGCCAAAGGAACTGGAAACTGAAGATGTGTCGCCGTTTGATGTCTATGTCTGGACCGCTGCGTAAAAAGGAGGGTTTCTGCCCCGTTACTTCTCCGCTATTTTCTTGTCGCTCTTGTCTGGTCAGTTTGAAAAGCATTTGCTTTTCAGCCAAACGGTATACAGTTAAATCGAACGGACTTCTTTGTGCAGATGTGAGCGTCCTTAACAACGGTCAATAAGTCCTTGACAGCGGTCTGTCTGTTCTGGATTAACAACGTGTCACGTGTTCTGAATTGACCAATCAGAATCGAGTATTCAACTAAACCATGTAATACGATACGATAATACTTTAATGGTCCGATCAAGTCTGAAATGTGACTTGCATTACAGCAGCTACATGTGTAACATCAACATAGACAAATATCAACACACAATACATGAACAACAAACATTTAACATAACGGCACAATCGCTGAGAGAACAGTTTCAAAGACCCTTTAGCGTGCATTTGATCTGATAAAGAATTAGCTTTGACTCTGATCGCTTACTCGTTTCTGCAGGTGTTGATGGACATGTTCGACCAAGAGGAGGACATCGGTCTCATGTCTCAGTGCACGGAGGAGCCCTCGTCCTCGGGCGAACTCACGTACGACGACCTGGTGCGTCTGGAGATCGCCGAGGAGCGTCAGTACCTGCGAGAGCTCGACCTCATCATCAAGGTTTTCCGCCAGCACTTCCTGTCCAACCCAAAGATCTTCACGCCGCAGGTGAGGAACGCCCGCTTAATTAAAAGAGCTGTCAAACGTTTTGTCTTTATTTGGAGTTTGATCAAAGGAAGGGTTGTTCATATCACAGTTAACATGCTGGTGCAGAATCGAAAACAATTGGAATATAAATGAAACTCTAATTTACGGTCCTGTTTTCACACCTTCTGTTCCCTTGGCCTGGAAGGTGGTTCCACCGGATGTATTAGTTGGATCACCAGTTGTTGTTTTTTAATGCTACTGTTGATTTTGAGTCCTCGGAAATAAACTTTTTCTCTGATATGACCGGGCGAAGTGTTGCAAAAAAACGACTTTTGCATGTGTAGCACCTCTTGTCCTATCTCACACCAAGAACAGATGCACCAACATCTACCTTGGTTTGAATAGTGGTGCCGTGAATAACTCTGGGAAGAGTTCGATTTTAGTTGAAGATTTTACAATTGTATTGCCAGCAATGTTCAACAACAGTGCGTGCGGAAAAAAAACACAGTTTCCACACTTAGAAGACGACACTGGCTGCCGTCTTCTAGTTCGGATTCACACAGGGGTTCTTGCAGGTTAGAGTTTGTTAACTAATATAGTTAAGAGTACAAATACACACTTTTTCAAATGCTATTATACACACTATACTAGGAGCTGCTTGACTTATGTCTCTGCGTCTTCAGGGTGTTCACAGGGGAAGAGAGAGGCGGAGTGATTCGCGCCACTCATTACCATGGGTTACACATGCTTAAAATGCAACTTAAGTTGAATTATTTATCCTATTTTGGCCTGTGAATGTGTAGAATTAGAAAAAGCATTGTGTGTGTGTGTGTGTCTGCCATTGGGATATCACAGTAATTAATTAATTTCAGGAAACACTTGATGCTATCTGCAATAAGGGGGGACCAATATGTGTGTTTATCGGCATCAGCAGATAAACAATATTGCCACAAAGCCAATATTATGCATCCCTATTTTATTTTGAAACAGGAAATGGTGACGATGGGTTAGCTAACAAAAACTTGACTTGTGTCACTCTGTATATTTTATCTTAAAAATTGTGCACCTTTTTAAGATAAATGAACCTTGATGTGCAAGAAATAGGAAAGGTACAAAAATAATTCAGTAGCTGCCTGCTTACTCTAAAGCCAGCTTAAAAACAAGTCAAGTTTCCAACTAACTGGAACCCTAATTATAAAGCAATTTTCAGCCAAATCCTCCATAAGAACATTTACAGATTAACCCTGTAATCGGCTAACCTGGTAATCAGCACCAGGAAGCACTTGGAAGTATGTAAACAGATTTAAAAGTGATTATTTAGGTATTAAACCTGAAGAAAAGATGCCCTTAAAGTAGAATTTTCCTATTTTTCTTTAATTTCTTTGAATATTGCTAGATAGGACCAAAACAAAACTACTTTTTAAATTATCAGTCTAAAGTTATAATATCTAACATTTCTGGTTTCAATTTCTAAAAACATCCAACTGCTTAATTCACTGTTCTGGGACTTCTGAAAAATGTACAAAAAAATAGGTGAAATATTTCTGAAAACTTTTACAAAAAAGGATCAGAAAGATATCCTCAAACAAATAAAGAAAAAATGTCTGAAAGCTTTTTAAAAAAAAATATAATAATCTGATAATTATGGGACACATTTCAACGTTTGAGAACAAATTAAATGTCTGAAAAGTGGAACTCAAATGTATTGTAAAAAAATGTAAAAGTCCCAAAATCATGTGGAAAGAAAATATCCTTTTTTCTTGGGAAAAGGTGTAAAAAATAATTCCAGAAAATAAGTAAAATATTTCTCATGTCTGAAAGCCTTCCAAAAAATATGTGAAAAATATGTAAAGTGTTTAAAGAATGGACAAAAAAAAAAACTCCCGACCCCTTCAGTAAATAGATGTTCAAAAAATAGTTTTACATACAAATTGTTTATTGAGGCTAAAGTGTCTTAAAGGGGACCTATCATGCAAAATGCACTTTGTGATGTCTTTTATACATAAACATGTGTCCCCGGTGTGTCAGGGAACTCACGCAGCGTCAGAAAATAAAACCCCCTCTTTTCCTCCGTACCCAAATCTCTAAAAACAGGGCTACAACGGAGCTGATCCAGATTTGCGTCCGATATGACGTAATATCGGAAATGTAGGCAGGCTTTACACCCACTGGCCTATCAGAAAGTTGCTATCAGAAACAATGCCTGACGTGTTTTGGACGTAATCTCGTCTTTGTTTACATTAGCAAGCCTCGCTAACACTCAGAGCTAACCTGTACTGGAGAGCACATGTTTTAAAAAGCAGGAAATAAAAAAAGGAACTCACCTTGTGATAAACCCGCAAGAGAAAAAGCCTTTGAGCTCCATGCTGTTTCATAAATAATCCTTGCTGTGGTTTAGAACAGGATGGTGTTTTGTCACAGCAGAATTTAACTTTATCTCCGGTAGAATTCAGATCAGGCATTAGCTCCGCCTCCTCTTTTTTTCAAGCTAAGGACCCAAAATCCGCGTTTCTCTAACAGGGCTGGAATAGAGGGGAATGAGCAGTATGAGGCATGGCTACAATGGGTGAACTGTTTGGTATTTTAAGCAAAACACTTCATAGGTATGTTTTGTATAGGTATGGCCCTACAATATATGTTTCCAATATAGCATGATAGGTCCACTTTAATATTCAATTGTGAATTAGGTGCTCTGAATTCCCCTAAATAGAAAGCAAAAAGCAAAAGCAGTGGATCTACGGGCTGAGAATGGAAAGTGGAGTTGAATGGGTCGCTGTGGTTTTGCATATTTTAGGCTGGGTGATTTGTGGTATGATTTGGGTGAGGAGGATAAACCTTAGCGAGGCCCAGAGGAATGCAGAGCGTGTAATTATGTTGACACGGGAACAACCTATGCAGCCCTTTGCCAAAATAACCTCAATTATGTCTGTTGTAACAGCGCAGCGTAATCTGAAATCACTCCAGAAAAGTGTTTTACGGTGAAATAATGACGGAGTGAACTTCTATTCTATTCGTCTCTCGCTGCTGTTTTAGGATCCTCGTCCGCTTGACTAATGATTTCCTCGGGCTGTTTCTGATTTTGTTTAGAGTCGTCCTCACCACTGTGTTTTAGCTTTTGTTTATCTGAGGGAGGAAGGCCAAGAATGGGAGCACTTTTTTAAAGCATTCAGTGTTTAAAAATGCCCTTCAATGATCTGGGTATTGTGGTTTTCCTGTGGTACGAGGAATTCAAGAAAGAAATGTGAAGTATACAGTAGGGATGGGAATTTGAAGGCAAATGTATATTCGAATATTCGACCCCCCAAAAAACGGTTAACCGATTAACCGAAATGTACATATCCTATAAAAAAATATGGGGGAAACATTTTTACAAGAAAATTAAACCAAGTCGAATTTGTCAAATGTATTGAACTGGTGATCACAGTTTGAACAGTTGACAGCTATAGGCCTACAGCTTTCATGCTTAAAACATAACTTGGTTTTCTGATGGATTTGGACATAAACGCGAGTGAAGTATAACCGGACGCGAGAGAGAGAGATCAGCACCTGCAGCTCTGCCCGCTGTGAGGGACCGGTGAGCGGAGCAAAACACACCTTTAGACCTAACACACTTGGCTATGGCACTGTCGTATACATTGAATTATTCCATTTGATAATATGTAATCAACTTAGGCATTCCTCCCAAATAAAAAAAAATATTCATAACTCATATCCTCATATTCGAATACCTGAATAATTTCAAATATTCGATTAATCGTTCCCATCCCTAGTATACAGTGTATACGTGACCTGCTCTATCGAAATCAGTCGGAAGTCGCAACGGCTTATTTCAAAATAAACGTGGATTTGCGTAAAAAAATAGTTTTTCGGGGTTTTGTTTGATTTCAAATAAACAAAATCTTGGCTTTCAGAATATGAAACTTTTATTTCCAAAATCACGCGATAAATACATGTTTGAAGCTTGTAAAGGGAAGACGACAGCTCTCACTCGCAATCTGCTCTTCCGCAGCGCCGCCCCCCCTCCCTCCGCTGACATTATGAATGTAAGGCGTAGAGTAATCATAGATAACACGGCAGGGTTACAGTTGGTTTTCATCTGATTTCAAATAAACAAAGTCTTGGCTTTCAGAATATTAAACTTGTTTCGGCAAATTCAGATGATAAATACAGCTTTGAAGCTTCGGCATAATTACAAGCGGAGAATGGAGTAACTTGACGTCACAGCAGGCATAACAACAGCCGGTGTTTCTCCTGAGAGTTTTCCCCGGGAAAAAAACACAATACACACAAATGCAAAAATACACAAACACACACACACACACACACACACACACACACACACACACACACACACACACACACACACACACACACACGTATACACACACACTCGCGAGCTTCCCCCAGACCAGTAATCCAAACCAAAATATCTTCCCTCCGTACTACTTTGATCAGATCGATGGATTCCAGAGAAGAGGAAACTTTGAAGCCCTTTTTCTCAAAACGATGACTCGGTGACAGTCATTATATAATGTGACATATTTTGCTTAATATTTGGAGAACAAAAACATTCCTGATATCATTAGAAAGCTAGGAATCTCCTCTTTCCAACAGTGTATATAACTCAAAATGTGTCTTCGGGTCAATGCATCTGATTTCATGGAGCAGGTCACATATATGCAAAAATGATACGAATAAAGTCTGGAAAAATCCTTGTAATAGCTCTGGAAAAATTCCCTAAAATACCAGAGCATGTCGTAAAAATGATTGAAAATGTTTTGAAACTTTTCTGAGAAAATGGCCTCAAAACATGTGAATAAAGTCTTGGAAAAAGTCCTTGGAAAAATGTCCCAACAGAAAGTATGCGAGCAGTTCACCCTCTCCTCTACGTCATATCCCCAAAACCGGCATCCAACATGTGAGCTAAATACCAATTATTACATGGCTTAGTTGAATACTCGATTCTGATTGGACAATTCAGAACATGTGACACGTTGTTAATCCAGTAGTACAGACCGATGTCAAGGACTTATTGACCGTTGTTAAGGACGCTCACATCTGCACAAAGAAGTCCGTTCGATTTAACTGTATACAGTTAGGCCGAAAAGCAAACTGCATGCAGTTTGCTTTTCTAACTGGGACAAGAGAAGTAACGGGGCAGAAACCCTCCTTTTTACGCAACGGTCCAGCCATAGACATCAAACTGGCAAAACATATTCAGTTGCCAGTTACTTTGTCATTAGGGCAGGGATATCTAGATACTTCCCAAGGTTTGACATAATGAATTGTGCTACTTTTAAAGCCACGATGTTTTCAAATCTGTAATCAAAAAGCTCCTCAAAAACGCTATCGAAGCAGTTCCTGCCGTTGCTAAGGAGGATCAAGAAAGAGAAAGTAAAAGACGGAGCGCTGGACGTCAGATAAATCACCAGAAGAAGGCAGAGAGGAAGTAAACACTAACAGGAACACGGTATGGGCTCTGCAGTGTTTAAGGACTTGTTAGTGGATCAGAAACTGAACAGAGTTGGACAGTGCTGCCATAAAGTTGTTGTTGTCGCAGTTCCAGCCGTTGGTGCGCCGTGGAACAGAGTTTCTGAGCGGAAGAAATACGATCATTTTTAAGTCAATAAAATCATTTCAATTAATATTGTGAGTCGAGTCGTTAGTTTAGTATATGGCCGGGTAATAAGCGGGATAATGTGCAGCGACTTGGTCATCATGGGGAAAAGAACACCCTGATGAGCCTGTCGGGTGTTCTTTTCCCCATAATCACCGCCTCGCTGCACATTAACCCTACATAAACCATACCCACGTGACAATTGCCGGAAGTGATAAACAATAAGAATGAAACGTGATGCAAACATAAATTAAGATAATAATAGAAATAATAAGCAATGGAAAAACAAGCATTTTCAGATCAGAATCAGAAACAGGTTTATTACCAGGTAGGTTTACACGTACGAGGAATTTAACTTGGTGCATAACAACAAGAATTAAAAACACAGATAGAGAACTAGAAAAATATTGATTACAAATATAGTAAAATATAACAGTATTTACATTGCAATGGAATAAGAAGGACTCTGACACTAACCTTTATTCTGTGCAGGACGTGGAGGTGATCTTCAGCAACATCCTGGACATCCACGAGCTGACGGTGAAGCTGCTCGGCCTCATCGAGGACGCCGTGGAGATGACGGCGGACGGCAGCCCGCACCCGCTGGTGGGAAGCTGCTTCGAAGATCTAGCCGAGGTACGAACATCATCTGACGGCCTGATTGTCAGGAGCTCCAGGAAGCTTTGTCGCACATTTAATCAACATAAAGAAAAAGGCCAATGTTTCAACATTTTATTTGTGATAGATGGATAGATGGATGATAGATGGATAGATGGATGGATGATGGATGATAGATGGATAGATGGATGGATAGATGGATAGATGGATAGATGGATGGATAGATGGATAGATGGATAGATGGATGGATGGATGGATAGATGGATAGATGGATAGATGGATGGATGGATAGATGGATGGATGGATGGATAGAGGGATGGATGGATAGATGGATAGATGGATAGATGGATGGATGGATGGATGGATGGATAGATGGATGGATGGATAGATGGATGGATGGATGGATAGATGGATAGATGGATAGATGGATGGATGGATGGATAGATGGATAGATGGATAGATGGATGGATAGATGGATGGATGGATAGATGGATAGATGGATGGATGGGATGGATGGATGGATAGATGGATGGATGGAGGGATAGATGGATGGATGGATAGATGGATAGATGGATAGATGGATGGATGGATGGATAGATGGATGGATGGATGGATGGATAGATGGTAGATGGATAGATGGATGGATAGATGGATGGATGGATGGAGGGATGGATAGATGGATAGATGGATGGATGGATGGATAGATGGATAGATGGATGGATAGATAGATGGATAGATGGATAGATGGATGATGGATAGATGGATGGATAGATGGATGGATAGATAGATGGATGGATGGATAGATGATAGATGGATGGATGGATAGATGGATAGATGGATAGATAGATGGATGGGATGGATGGATAGATGGATAGATGGATGGATGGATATGGATGGATAGATGGATGGATGGATAGATGGATAGATAGATGGATAGATGGATGGATGGATGGATAGATGGATGGATGGATAGAGATTGATGGATAGATAGATAGATAGATGTATGGATAGATGGATAGATGGATGGATAGATGGATGGATAGATGGATAGATAGATGGATGGATAGATGGATAGATGGATAGATGGATAGATAGATGGATAGATGATGGATAGATGGATGGATAGATGGATAGATAGATGGATGGATAGATGGATAGATAGATGATAGATAGATGGATAGATGGATAGATGGATAGATGGATGGATGGATGGATGGATAGATGGATAGATGGATAGATGGATGGATGGATGGATAGATGGATAGATGGATGGATAGATGGATAGATGGATGGATGGATAGATGGATAGATGGATAGATGGATGGATAGATGGATAGATGGATAGATGGATGGATAGATGGATAGATGGATAGATGGATGGATAGATGGATAGATGGATAGATGGATGGATAGATAGATGGATGGATAGATAGATGGATAGATGGATGGATAGATGGAGGGATGGATGGAGGGATAGATAGATGGATAGATGGATAGATACATAAGTACTTTATTGATCCCAATTTGGGAAATGTTTGCATTGCAGCAGCATAAAAAATAAGAGAAATTAAGACACTAGAAATAAACAATCCAAAATATTTCTGAAGTAGAAATAAAATAGCATTAAAAAGTTAAGAATATACATGTGGAAATACACATTTCCAGTAACAAAATATAATGCAGGATATTATAAATGTATATATATATATATACACTAATTGTGCAAGAATGGTGGTTAATAACACTTAACTCCTTTGCGTGACATCCCTTAATTAAAACAGTAATAAACAGGTATTTAAAGAATGGCTTGTAACCGATCAAGTAAAATGTCCCATCTGTATGAGTGCATTTGAATGCGTTGTTCCAGCAGACTCTCAAATACTTTTCAGTGGCATTTTCTTATATGTAGATGTCCGCAATGACTGTTAAAAGATTCTCTCCTCGTGTACAGGAGCAGGCCTTCGACCCCTACGAGACTTTGTCCCAGGATATCCTCAGTAAGAATTTCCACGAGCACTTCAACAACCTGATGGCATGCTCCACCGCCGGCCACTACTTCAAGGTAGGATGATGACATCAGCCACAGGCACATTTTAAACCATAACCCTAATCTAAACCCATGTTATAACATTTTAGAAAACACAATTATAACAATCAATTCAATTCAAAATAGTGTTCATTCAGTCAGCTATTTTTTAATTCAGTTTTAGTCTTAGTCCTGTGTTAAATGTCCTTTTTAGTTTTAGTCATATTTAGTCACCTTCATCCTGTTTTTATGTATTCAAGTTTTAGTCGACTAAAAGTCTGAGCATTTTAGTCTTATTTTAGTCAAAGAAAACTGTTGAGTCTTTTTTAGTCATCAGATTATATAGAACATTTCAGTCAAACTAGTCAAAACCAATAATTTTTCATTTTAGTCACATTTATTTCACAATAAGATTATATCTTGTCCTTATTTGATGAAAAACAGGTTGAATGATTAAGAAAGCAGCTTTGCACAGTATCTGGTTTGTGGTGTTTTTACCAGCTGTGTTTTGGCCACATTGCTTCCCTTCTGATGAAACAATGCATTGGTTTTTATTCTCCGCCTTCATTGTAGCGAACATGGGCCCAAATTAGGTATATCGTGTCATGGCGATAACCGCGATATGCGCATTCACATCGCAGGGACGTGCGATTTTATACATTTTTTATAATGCATTTTTTTTGCGGGCGTGCGATATTAAGTAGGTACATTAACTCAAACACGTCATGTTACAATTATTTTGCTGCTTGCTACAAAAGGAAAACTTGCGCGGCTCTCATGTCAGGGGTACTTGAGTGAGTGACACAGCAAACCACCAATCACAATCATTCTTGATCAGATCACAGCAGGCCCCGCCCCGCTAGTTTGCAGACCATCAAAACACCGGTAAAATATGAGCGAGGCACAGGAGGACGATACGGGTGAGAATGAAGATTTACTTCCAAAAAGAAAGGCAACATCTGCCATCTGGAACTATTTTGGATACAAAAAGGTTCTTCTCTTCTTCATTCACAGATGAAGCCCCTTATTTGAGGGTAAGCAACATGCATTATCATGACATGTTCATGACTTAAGGTATGATGAGTCAACCAGTTAAGATCCAGACGTCCGTGACTAACATCCTTCATCCGGTTAAATATAGTTAAAAAACCGCAATATATATCGCAGGGGAAAAAATATCGCAATGTCAGTTTTTTTCAATATCGTGCAGCCCTAGCCCAAATATCACATCGTTTCTTTCTCCCAAGCAGTGGTGGCTTTAGACTTTTTCGTTGTCAGTCATTTTGACGGACAGGATCGTAACATTTCCGTCTGTTAACTGTGTTCTTATTCTCAGCGTCCAGGAAAGAGAAGCTTAAAAAGGAGACTAAATGGAGTCTCTGGAGGTTCAAAATTGGTACTTTAATTAATAAAAAAAGCGCGGTAAAGTCACAAACAGGATTGTTCGATAGGAGAGAAAGTCTGCAGCTTCCTCTCCAGCTGCTGGCCGTGCAGAAGAGAGCTTACAAGCATTCGTCCTTCCCGCTTGCTCGCTGTTCGCTCCTCCTCTCTGTGAGCTGTAGTGACGTAAGGGACTTCCCCCTCTCGTTCGTCTGTGTCCGATATCGCGTTAAACAGAGGATTTCGACATTTTACATTCATTGCTTACTTCCACATGCCTTTTCTCCTCCTTATCTCTTTCATAACTTTATATGTAATACATGTTAACGGCGTCAATAGCCACTTTAATGATACTAATGGGCGGTAATCCCGGATGTCGTCATGAAGGATTTTCAGAATAAAAGCTTAACAACTGGACGCACAAGAACTTCTGGTTTTTCAGTATAAAACAGCATTTAAACTGACGGTATGTTTAGGGTACATTATGCTATCAAAACATTGATTTTAATTTCTAACACGTCATAATCCATTATGAGGGGAGGGGGTATTCGGTTAACGCGAGTGCGACCACTGCTCCCAAGCCCTGTTGTTACCATTTTATTTTCTGTTAACTAAGGTTAGTTAGACCATGAGTTAGACCCGAGTCTTCCTGACAGTTCATATTGTGCCGCTGTCCGGTATAATTCAAATGTACCGCCGCGCGCAGCACAGACACACAGCTGCTGCCCTGCAGCACCGGAAATGGAACTGCTGGGAGAAAAACTGACTCAGAGAATGTAACGTTATCTTTGATAATATTTCGTCTCCTCATTTTTCGTCAACGAAAGTAAAGAGAGATTTTGGCATAGTTTTTATTTAGTAAACTACATTTCGTCTCCTCACTTTTCGTCAACGATATTGCATGATGATTTCGTTACAGTTATTGTTTACTGCCGTCTCGTCATCGTCTCGTTTTCGTCATGGAAAAAAAGGTCGTTGACGAACATATTTCGTCATAGTTTTAGTCAACGAAATTAACACTAATTCAAAACCTTTATTTATCAGGTGAAATCCCATTGAGATCAATGATCTCTTTTTCAAGGGAGACCTGCAGCAGTAGGTTCCACAAGAAGACATAAACAACAGAACAACAAAAGGACATCATACAGCAAAATGTACAGGGATTACAATTTACATATATAACCACAAGTACAGGTACCAACAGCATCTGATTTTGTAGCATCCAACCGAGCTTTAAAAACATGTAGTGGTACTAGCTTGGTAATTTTCCATTCTTTTTGCAGACTGTTCCATGTTAGTGGAGCTGCACATCTAAAAGCTTTCTTCCCTAAGACAGTCCTAGCACTTGGCACATTTAATAAAACCACAGCATGCGATCTCAGGCAATAAGTACTTTCAATTCGCAGAGAGATCAGGGAGCAGATATAAGATGGTAGTTTATCCAACATGGCTTTGTAAATGAAAATGTACCAGTGACTGAGCCTCCGTACAGTAAGTGATGGCAAAACTGCCTTGGTATACAGCAGGGGTGTCAAACTCAATTTCATTGCGGGCCACATTCGCATAAATGATGCACTCAAAGGGCCGGTTGTAACTATATATAATATATATATAAAATAATGTATAATATGACATTATTGCCTCTGAATTGGATTATTATCGGATAGGATAATAACTTAGTAATTAGCTACATCTGAAAGCAGAAGTCCAGGGCAAATAATTGCAAGTCTCTTCAGTGCGCATGTCACAAAACAAGATGCATTGTGGGACATGTAGTTTATGGGCAACCTGCTTCTGTAAAGTGGCATGTAACCGTATAATAAACGTATTATATTCTTTGCAAGCTCTTGCGGGGCCACATAAAATGAAGCCGCGGGCCGGATTTGGCCCCCGGGCCTTGAGTTTGAGACCCCTGGTATACAGTGTACAGTGATGCGTAAGTGCTTTACAATTTGTCAAAAATCTCAGTGCGCTGTGATACGCAGCATAAAGTCATATCTCCCACTCTCCTCCTTCCTGCCATTCTCAACTGTCAACTCTCTTAAAGAGCAGAAATGCCATAAATCTAAAAAGAAAGGGAAAATGTTTGTTTTAAATACGAAGCAGGTCATTTATGTATTTTCACGCAGCAAACAGGGCTCGGTATTTGTTCCTGTTTGGCTTTGAAGTGAATTCCTCCAGATATCGTTTGAGGGCATGTCATGACATATTTGTCGTCCTGTGTACAGTTTATTCACATTGTTTTATTTGGACATTCCTCACAAGAATAGCATTGAATTTCTCTCGGTGGGGGGCAGTCTGCCAGCCTTTGAAGATGAAATATGTGCTGGTGTTTTCTCAGGCCAGCGATCAGCGAGGCCCAGCGTTCACATGAAACACAGCTTTAAATCAGAAAGGACATTTAAACAAGTTCTCTACTTTTATTTAATTAAAAAAATGTATTATCATTAATTCGGTTCGGAAAGGTTGCTACATTTTATGATAAAGTATTTAAAAATATACATACGTACACTGATGGAAAAATAATATTTACATAAAAATACAAAGTTAATTAAATATTTGAAATAAGAATGAAAGAAATGAGTACAAATATTTGTATTAACATAAAAAGTCAAGAATATATAATACAACATATTTATAAAAACAAAACATTTGCAAATAGAAGATAACATTTAAAATATTTATATATTACATTTAAGAAATAATGAAATACAAAAAAAATAATGAGATAAAATAAGACATGTTGTATTAACATAAGCAGGTGAAAATGTGCACAATTAATATAAATATTTTTGATAAACAAGTACAAATGTGCAATAAGAATATACAGGGGGTCCGCGGGGTCTTAAAAAGTATTAAAAGTTGATAAATCAATTTAGCGAAAATGAAGGCTATTCAAAAGTATTAAACTGCATTTTCCAAGGTGTTACATTTTGTAGCTTGTTTTCAATAAGTATATAAATGGTCCAGAGAGGTTGTGTTCTACAGTGTGCCTGAATGTAATCATGGCGTAGGTGTGTAGTGTGATTCTGTAGTTTATTGATGGCATCCCGTTGGATTTGACGTCATCTGAACAGGACATCGCACGCTCACTGCTTGATAGCGCGCGAAGCTCCGTTTACGCCGGTTGCTAAGCAACATCGTTATGGGGAAATGCAAGTCTGCGTCCAAATGGTTGGAAGATAAGGAGGAAGGACAATCAATACTGTATATAGTCAATGTGAGGTGAAGTGTGTCGCCAAGGTAACCGGTTACAACTCGAAGTGGAGATGAGGTCTTAAAATGTATGGGAAGGGTCTTAAAAAAGGTCTTAAAAGGTATTACATTTGACTTCCTGAATATACCCTGAAATAACATAAAATACAAGAAGAAACTGTTTATATATAAACATTAGAGCCTAAAGTTAAAATGTGAGAAGATAATTGATTTTAAAGCTGAAAATCAACATTTTATGGTGGCTTTTTAAATCAGTGCTTCCTCTCCCTCGTCCCCTAATAGATGTGTCTGTGCAGCACTCTGCAGCGTCTGGCATTGTGGGTAAATTACATCGCCTTTTAAAAATAGCCCAGGCTGCCACACTGCGGGGAGGGGAGGCGAGGGAGGGGAGGCGAGGGAGGAGAGTAAAGGCTGGTGTCTCAAGAAGCATTTCATGTTGAAAATAATCGGTGAATTAAGACGGAGAAGGACCCCGACGTGGAGCGTCTGTACCTCGGTGAGGAGGGAACATGGTGTACTGGATTCACTCTGCTCTGTATTCAGGCTGCCAGCACTGTGACGCGTGGAGACTGGTTTTTACACGTTATCCAACTCAACATCTACTTTATTTACAGTTTACACTCTCAGATCAGCTGTAAAAGTAGACCTCGACAATAAAGGGATACCACATCTACACAATTATAAATTACATACCAGTTACTCACCCTGTGTTTCCTTAAATTCTGGAAGATATTGTAGTTCGTCTCTCATTAGCCGTGCTATATCATGTCTTAGTGCTAAGCTAAGCTAACCAGCTGATCACAAGCTAACAACAGCAGAACGATATGAAAACATCCGTTCACAAACTCTCACAACTCTGCAGTAAAATCCTCTCATTCAGTCACTTGTTCACATACTAGAGCATTAGGCTATTTCATTATTATTATATCTTTATTATTATTATATCTTTGGACATATAAAGACATCACCTTGAATCTTTGGCCGTTTTTGACACTTTCAAAACGTAACCATAAATGTAGAAAGTAATCTACAGATAATTGTTCTTTTGCAGCAACATTACAAATCCATGCGTTTTCATGTCTATATCACAAATCGTACTATTTCTGACACCCCTTAACGATTTCTTATAGTTTTAATTCATTTCATTTATAGTTTTATTCTATTTTTGTATTATTTTCTTCACTGTTGAGGCATGAGTAAAACAAAAATGCCTTTTTTTAAGATTCATAATTGCATCGCTCCTGTATTGCATTGCTTCTGATATGAAGCGTCTCAATTTGTGAACCCTCAGGATGCTGACGTGTCAATAACGCGTCTAAACTTAGGTCATTGTTCCCCGGCTGTCCATCAGCCTGCGTCAGACACATGATGTCTTTCTCTTTTCCATGCACACACACTTTCTGTACACTCACACACACACACACACTCTCTGCACACACACACACACACACACACACTCAGTGCTGTGGAGTCTGAGTAGTGGAGTATTGATTCTTCTATCAGGGGAACGGGAGATTTAAATGGATACTATGACGGCCTCCTCTCCGGTTACCCAGCAGCCTTTCCTCCTCCAACGTGCTGCAGCTCCTCCTGTCTCAGTTATACTCTGAAACATGCACATTTTAATAGCCTTTTTTGCAGTATTCTGTATCAGAGCTTTAAATATTTACTTTTAATATTTGATTAGGCAGTTTGAGTCATATTTTTTAAAGAAATAACATTCTTTAATTCCAGCTTCTTAAATGTGCATTTTCTTCTCTGGTTTCATTACTAATTTATAATAATTGGCTGATTTTATTTGAGCTGTGGACAAGACCCCTAACCCGGACATTTGAGGTAGTCATTTTAGGCTTTGTGAAGCAATGGGTGACTTTCTTTGTTACTTTTTTTAAGATGAGATTACTTTAGTGGAAGATCGAATATGTTGCATCGTAGACCACAATCAACATAAAATGTGTGGTTTAAAATCAAATCAAGGAATAAAACTTAAAACAACATCGAACAGTCAAATCTGCGGTACACTACAGGAACATGGGACCAAATAACTCATCAATTAAGTAAAAGAATATCTGACGGATGAATCCATAATAGAACTAATAGTTAAGTTGCAGTTACATTTTTCTTTTAGATGTTTACGGTTATTTTACAATCTGTAGTCTTTATCATCGTACCTGGTATTTTTGATCCCATTCTACTCAGTGGCATATTCGTAGATGTTCTGAAAGTTATAATAAAGTCCATCACTAACAGTTTTCTTTGTGTGTGCAGGCGGTTGCAGAAGGTTTCAAAGAAGCCGTGCAGTACGTCCTCCCTCAGCTGATGATGGTCCCGGTTTACCACTGCATGCACTACTTCGAGCTTCTGCAGGTACGTCTGAAACCATGCATGCGAATAACTTAGAAATGATTGGTTTTCACTGTTTCAGGGTTTCTAGAAAATGTCTGTTAGATTGCTTTGTGGTTTATAGTTATTTTGCACAGCTGATATCTTGAATCTGAAGAAGTGCTTCTGTAAAGACACCTACCGTCTTCTGTATTTATCAAATATACCCACAAAACTGATGAGTGTTTTTTCCTGCTTTTATGTTGGAAAAATATCACTGGTCACCGGCTTGAGCTTCAATCTCAGGATCCATGTATCTGTGATCCTCTCCAGAATGGAAGTAGTCATCACATACAGAGCATCAAGTAGTTCCTGAACAGTGTCCTTCACATGCTGATATCCAAGAGAGGGAGTTACACAGTCACAAGATGGAGGAATAGAAAGCAGTATTCAATGTTTAGTTCAGATTAGCTCCACGTCAGAAATGAGCATGCTTGATGTCTCTCTCCATAGAGGCTGAATCATCATGTTAATCACATAGCTATCATATGCCTCAAACAGTCCTGATGCTCTTCTAGGTAATCACACATCCTGTCATGTACACAGCTACAGTTGGGATACCTTTGTTATCATGTTACTCTCATATTGGAAGAGTACATTCAGTGTTTTCCCAACAATTTGTTTTTTGCAGCAACTGCAGGAGCGCAGTCAGGACCAGGACGACAGAGAGTGTCTGAAGCAGGCGATCACTGCGCTGCTGAACCTGCAGTGCAGCGTGGAGCGAATCTACACCAAGCACCAGCCTCGCCGCAAACCTGGGTACAAATCCTCTATTTCATATTCACATTTATTCCCTAGTTTCTCTCATGGAAACATCGAAAGAAAAAGGTGACATGCATAGAAGCAGCAGCCGATGTTAGCCGTCATGGTTTTAAATGATAACGGAATACAATATGAAGACGGTCCTTAATGTTGAAAGACAAGACGATGACTGAAGGCCAAAACGTATTTGGCAACATGTAAAACTAGTATTTTGTGCAAATCTTCCACAAATGACACAACTTTGATCAGGTGTGCAGGAACTATCTAGCTTCTTTTGGAGGACAAAAAGAAATAAATGGATTTTCAGAAGTCGTAAACCTCAGAAGATAAAGTAAATATTTGACAAAGATGCCATTGGAGCATTCAGCGGCCGTGTATTAGAGTATGAATCTGTTTTATCCCCCTAACTTATTACACATAAAGCAGATGCTGTGTGGCATCAGTTCCACCGCCCTTATTTATTTACATATTTAGGATAATTTCGGTGTGTTAATAGTTAGATCTTCCGCATTATCTGACTCTCCGTCCCCCCCACAGTGAGCCGATGTACCGGCTGTACAGCAGGCAGGTCCGCAGCAAACAGCTCGCCATCAAACGCATGAACGAGATCCAGAAGAGCATCGACGGCTGGGAGGGGAAGGACATCGGCCAGTGCTGCAGCGAGTTCATCCTCGAAGGTCCTCTGCTGCGGGCCGGCGCCAAACACGAGCGACACAACTTCCTGTTCGACGGCCTCATGATCAGCTGCAAGGCCAACCAGAGCTCTCGACTCCCGGGGTCCGGCAGCGGCGCCGAGTACCGCCTCAAGGAGAAGTTCGTGCTGAGGAAGATCCGCATCGTGGACCGCGAGGACTCCACGGAGCTGCGGCACGCCTTCGAACTCATCGGGAAGGACGAGAACTGTGCGGTGTTCTGCGCTCGGACGGCGGAGGAGAAGGCGGCGTGGATGGCGGGGTTAGTGACGCTGCAGTACCGATCCACGCTGGACCGCATGTTGGACACGGTGCTGCAGCACGAGGAGCAGGCGCACCCTCTGAGGCTGCCGTCGCCAGAGGTGTACCGCTTCGCCGTGCAGGACTCTGAGGAGAACATTGTGTTTGAGGACAAAGTGCAGAGCAAAACGGGGATCCCCATCATAAAGGCCGGCACCGTGGTGAAGCTCATAGAGAGGCTCACCTACCACATGTATGCTGGTGAGATGCTGCAGTACATATTGTTCTTCTGGAGGGTTAAATATTAAGGAGTAATTCACCACAGAATAGAGTGCCACAGTGACGCGTCCTAAAACCCGGAAGTAAGTAGCATTTTACCTCTTCCGGTTCCTTCGACAAAAAGCAATGCAATATCTCCATAGGATTTTGGCTGGAACTAAGGTCTGTGGTTGAGACACATTGAAGAGACGGATCACGTTTTGTTCTACGACATTAAATCCATCAGCAGTGACCCCACTGGTGATTTCTGAAGAGTTGACGTGTCTGAAAAACGATGGTTGTTAACAAGTGGCTGAATAGGACTACAGAAGTTGTCGAGGTCGTTGTACGTCATGACGCCGAACACGTAAACACTCCTCTAACTTTGTTTGCCCTGTTCTGCTTGAGAGCAAGTCCCTGCCTCCTGCAGACTGTTCAAACAAACGCTTCAACTCGTACCATTTACAATCTGTATGTTTGAATATGGATCTTAAGTTGGCGTGACGTTGAAGCAGTGACCCTGCTGTAGCTCCTTTATAGCATAACATTAGCATTTTGCTTCCGGTGACTAGATTTATGATTAGAACATTATAAAAGTAGGGTAGACATGTGGAGATTATCCGGCTGAACCAAACGTGACCCGTCTCTTCAATGTGTTTCAACCACAGACCTTATTTCCAGCTATTTTCCAAAATCCTATGGAGAAACTGCATTGCTGTTTGTCGAAGGAACCGGAAGGAGTTTACTTCCGGGTTTTAGGACGCGTCACTGCGGCACTCTTTGATCATCAGTATATCAGTTCTTCCCCGAAATGTTGCCTTGAATTCCTGAGGAATATGTGGCTTTTCTCTCATGCCTCCACGGTGACAGACAATCAAAAAGTAGACTCAAAGTCTTGATGAATTAAAGTTTTAACAACAGCAAAATACAGGAAGGAAAACACTTCAGTTGGAGGGGTAAAATATAAACATTTTTTCAAGTCATTTTTCATGCAAAAAATGCGTTTTTAAAATAAAGTGTTTTCCGACTTTCCTCTGTTGTATATCATATCATATATATAGGCATATTCACCTTAAAGAATATAAATAAGGGATTCATTTTAGAAGTCTAGATTTGAGTTGTGTGAGCATTATGTCTAATATATCCAGTCTATGCTCACTACTTCACTAACACATGACTAAAATGCACTATTTAAAACATTGCAAAACATCCAAAGCTCTTACCCAAATTAAGGATAAACAGTACTTACACTGCGGCGTCTGAGGAAGCATTGTAAGTGTCGTAAATAGTAAGATGTTATTGGAAATGCATACATTTGGGATAGTGCTGCAGTAAATAATCTCCATACACCTTACGGCCCGTCCACACACAGGCATGAAAAAAATCTTGAAAAATCTTGAAGCTGGGCGTGTCTGAAGCTTGGCGATTTTTTGCGACCAACAACCAATCACATGAATCTCCCGCCCCCGACATACAAAGCAATAGCAATGTTAAAACAAAGTAAACTGGATATAAACTCCCCAAACAGGCGAAAACCTACCAGTCTCACCCACTGTCTCTGCCACCTCCCTCCATGCCTGGCTCCTCCGGTTTGTATCCCGGTAAATAGTTCTGGTCGTAAAGAACCGGGTGATTTGCTACCGTAATTTCTCGTTTGGAATATGAGGAAATGAACTGCTCTCCCAGCTTGCACGCGGTTTGATTGGCTAGCGCTTGTACTGGCGGGATTTGCATAAACGGGATTTGATTGGCTGATGCCAGCTTCGAAAGCATCGGGAGCATCAAAAGTTGAACATTGCTCAACTTTTTATCTCACGATGCTTGCAAAGCCATGCTCCGCTCCCCACAATGCAGTTCGGCGAAGATTCAAAATCTTCTACGTCACCCCAAGTGAATGGGCGAAGCTTTGAAAGATTTTTTTCATGCCTGTGTGTGGACGGGCCGTTATAGTCCAAGGTGGTATCTTTAAATGTCTATATCGTATGAAAAAACTGCATTTTTTGCTTGAAAAAGTACTGGAAAAATGTATCAAATATCATGGAGTCATGTGAGAGTTTGTAAACAGATATTTCTTATAGTTTTTACAGTATTTTTGCATTGTGATGTAGGGTCTCTTGCTTTGTTATCTAATCTATTCTATCTGTTTGTAGACCCTAACTTTGTGCGCACGTTTCTTACCACGTACCGATCCTTCTGCAAACCACAGGAGCTGCTCACCCTGCTCATAGACAGGTACACTTCAGACGCTATGTGCTTTACTGTATTCCTCCTGCAGCCATAAGAGCGATATCTCTCAGTGCTGTGGTGTTGTTTGTCTTCATTTATCTGATAATATTCTCCTCAGGATTGAGATCCCGGAGCCAGAGCCGACGGAGGAGGACCGGCAGGCGCTTTGGAACGGGGACCAGCCGATGGCGGCCGAGCTGCAGCGGTTCAGGAAGGAGTACGTGCAGCCGGTCCAACTCAGGTACCACAGATCAATCAGGAGAGACGTAACGTTGATGTAACGATATATATTTATTGCCGGGAATACACAGAAGCATGTAATGGTGTTTTGGTGATTAGACCCCGTTGTGCTAGAATATCATTCGGGAGGGAAAAACCCGAATCGATGAACCCCCCCCCCGCCCGGGGTCTAGACCAGGGGTGTCCAAACTACGGCCCGGGGGCCAAATGCGGCCCGCAGACCATTTTGAATCGGCCCTCAGCAAATTCAAAAAGTATAATGGAATACGGCCCACAAATGAAACGTGTGCTTATCTTATATTGTACTTCTTAAATATCACACAGTAGTATTCATGACCACTTTTCAAATAAATTCAGTCAATTCAAGTTGGAAACATTTTCTAACATATCTTAGTTGATAAGAAAAAAGCCCAATGACTTATTTACAAGCTTGAAATACACCCTTCCTATTATAATCAATCTGAGGCTTCTGCTTTAAGGGATGAGCTGCCAACACTCACAAGCATCATGTACCTACATTTGATTGATTTTGCTCATTTATAACTGAACTTATGAGGCGATATACCTCTAGTGAGCAGCCCAGCCCTTCGTATATTTTTCTGTAGGTGAAAAAAGGACACCCCTGCCTGGTCTAGACACTGGTGGTGGTGAAGGCATGAAGGGATTGATGGAGGTCGGTCTGAAGAGGAGTGGTTTAAGCTTGACCCTGGATTTGGAAGAAAGGAAGGTGGAGGAGGGCTGCGTTGAGTCACCTGAAATGACAACTGTGAGGAAGGGGAGAGAGCAGATTTAAAGGTTTAGCAGTGCACTATGATAGGCTTGTGGGAATAGAGGCGAAGTGATAGCTGGGGAGTAACGCCCCCGATCACTGATTGAGAGGAGAGAGCTGGAAATATGTGAATGACTGACTAAAGACGGTCTTCCTGGTTGAACTTGCGCTAAGCACCTTTCCCGATCCCCACTACACGTTCCGTTGTTTGACAAGAGTTTAACGCCACTTACCTGTCTATTTTATTCCTTTTAAAGACTAATTGTATTCATGTATTTACAGGGGGTCCGCGGGGTCTTAAAAAGTATTTAAAGTTGATAAATCAATTTAGCGGAAATGAAGGCTATTAAAAAGTATTAAACGGCATTTCCCAAGGTGTTACATTTTGTAGCTTGTTTTCAATAAGTATATAAAGTGTCCAAAGAGGTTGTATTCTACAGTCTGCCTGAATGTAATCATTGCGTAGGTGTGTAGTGTGATTCTGTGTAGTTTATTGATGGCATCCCGTTGGATTTGACGTCATCTGAACAGGACATCGCACGCTCACTGCTTGATAGCGCGAAGGTCCGTTTACGCCGGTTGCTAAGCAACATCGTTATGGGGAAATGCAAGTCTGCGTCCAAATGGTTGGAAGATAAGGAGGAAGGACAATCAATACTGTATATCAGGGGTGGCCAACCAGTCAGAGGTTAAGAGCCACATTTTTTCTATGTTACTTCAAAGAGCCACATCAAACACACAGTCACTGATACCGCTTGTTTCAGTTTTTTGTTTTCTGGAGACAAGATTTCAACCACGTCACTGATGCATTTTTGTGGCATTGGGATATTTTTTTTTTAAATCCTCTGGAGCAGAGAGAGGAGCTGTGGATTATTGTTATTGATTAATGCATCAGTGTTTCTTATAGGGTCAAAAACACTAAACTCACAACTTAAAATGAAAGCGTTTAGTTTATTTAATAAAAGAGCACATGTTCAATGTGAAAAGTGACAGTAGTTCTAGATTATTTGCAATTTGGTGCTATATATATATATTTAAAAAAAAAATTATATATATATTTTTTTTAAACACCTTGAATTTCAGGGGGGGTGTGGGGCTCCGTTTGCGGGGCGCAGCGCCCCTCCAAGACAATGGTAGGGGAAACACTGGATAATGTTTAATCAACGATAGGTTTCCCCCCCCTCAAAGGTGATTGGTTCACTGCATCGCAGGTATTATTGTGATTGGCTCTTGGGCCACATCAAAATTATACGCGCTGTCATCCTCTCATACTGACACCACACACAACATACATAACACGGGACGAAAGTAACGGAGTGATTTTATCCGAGCCCAAACAACTTTGACCGGCCAAATTACGTCAGAATTATCAGCATTCAATACTTAACAGACCTACTAAATATCAGGTTTAACTGTCAGGAGTAGCTAGTGTTGTCACGATACCAACATTTTGGTTTTGATACCAAGTCAAGAATTGCGATTCCGATTATTTTTCGATATTTTCTTAAAAAAAAGGGAAACGGTCTTAAATGTAATTATTGTGCTTTATTTCACACCAGAACCATAACCATAACACAAACTTTTAAACAATGAGAACAATAAATAAAATAAATGACAAGAATTCGTATTAAATAAAATTAATAAATGTCTTACAGACAGGCCTCGTGGTGTCCGTAGGCTTGCCCTCACTGTCAGAGATATAGCTCAAATACTTCCAAATGTCGCTTCTGGCGTCTTTTTGTCAACAAGCCGAGGCGCAGCGGCAGTTGCACTCCCACTTGCAGCCATGCTTCTCGTTTTCTCACATGCTCTGGCAGCTAGCGCGTGCACGAGAGAGGGGAGGCACTTAGAGCGTGCTTGAGAGGGGCGGGACTGCAGGCACGGCTGCAGTGCAGGGAGTGGAAGCAGAGCGCTGAACACACACGGCTCTTATTAAAACGGTGCTTTCTCACCGGAGTACTTTTCCCCGTCATTCTTAAAGTACCGATACTAATGAAACGGAGGAATCGTAACGTTTTTAACGGCAGGGTATCGTGGTACCTTTCAAGTATCGGTACACCGTGCAACACTAGTCAGGAGTCAGTGTCTCTCCCCCAAACTCACACATATAAAATTCGATATGAACTGAAGAGCCGCATGAAACTAGGCAAAGAGCCGCATGCGGCTCGAGAGCCGCGGGTTGGCCACCCCTGCTGTATATAGTCAATGTGAGGTAAAGTGTGTCGCCAAGGTAACCGGTTAAAACTCCAAATGGCGATGAGGTCTTAAAATGTATGGAAAGGGTCTTAAAAGGTTTTACATTTGACTTCAGGATTCCTGCATATACCCTGTTTTTAAAGGTCGTAAGGGCCATCAGCTGCACTAAATGTGGTACAAAGCAGGAGTATGTGCTTGCTATACGTACAGTTTTACATGATATGGGGAATTACGGAATTTTGTAATGTACCTAAAGTACCACAACAGACGCTCGTAGTCACACGTCTGTACTGAGAAAAGCCTGGACAGAATGTTTGAAAAAGTGTCACATATGTCCGCTTTGACTCATTGGTTACATTTTTGTCAACAGAGATCTCACAAAAAAATGTTTTGCCATCTTGAATTCAGATACTAATTAAGACAATTTCACACAAAAGTCTAACTAGATAAAATGTTGTGTTCAGGTTGAATTAAACCCTTACGGTTGGATTGAGACAAGGTTTTGTTTAAAGTTTAGAGTCTGTAAACTTGTAGATAAAACGCAGCTTTCATTTCATAGAACAAAGGATCTTCGTCTCCTGTTCTTTTACTCTGTCCTCTTAAGGCCCTGGCGTCCTCACCGAGCCGCAGTATTTCTCTTATATATATGTATCCTTATAAGGAGTAAAGCACAAGAATAGCCTGTAAGTGAAGAACCATTAAAAACCTCTCTGTATCAAGAGCAGCTGCAATAAAATCCTTTAAGGTAAAAGGGTTAACGACTTCTGCTCACACAGAATAAATCTCTCTAGATGGCATCAAGACGGCCATTAGGTTTGTAGCATCTTTAAAGTGTGTTCATTAGGCAACAAACACACATTATAAATCAAATCTTAAAGTGTTTGAACATTGAATAACACAAACTTAAAGCAGATTGTCTTTGGGTGGTCGCTTGTTATAAACAATTGAATGTGGT